TCGAGGTGTTTTACGTGTAATGTCCTCATAAAGCATAAGATATATAAGAATTGTTTATCTCCAAAATCCTTTTGATACGTGCTATACCTGAATGTACAATTACTGCAGTGAGTCAGATTTTTAAAAATAAACTGGAGAAAAAAATAATAATTGACTGGATAAAATAAAGATGTTTAGCAATCCTACTGTAACTATCTGTGACTGATCAAGATTTAAATCTTTAAATATGAATTTAGCCATTCATATTCTCAGAAATGAAAATGAATTGATAAGATGAAATGACCTTTAATGAAACCACCGATGAAGCAACAAGCAATAATGTCTTTGTGCTTCCTGCCTTTTATTTTTGTATGACATCCCAAAGTTATGAAAGATGAGTACACCCTTCAAGTCCATCAGTTTAGATCTGTAATAACTACATTTTTCCCGATTCTATTCTGTACTCCCTGGTTCTAACCAGGACTACTGCTGACGTACAACAGAGCTTGGAAATAATTATTTTGGGCGGTCACTTTGGCCATTTCAGATTCATATTACAAATTTCATTAACAGAACATGTAACATCTGTAGCCATGGCTGCTTCTTCATGAGTAGAGGTTCCTTTAACCCATTGCCGCCGGGGATGGCATGTACGTACACGCCATGCCCACTTTGAGTCGACTTGCATGATTGTTTTTACACATAGATGGCTACACTTGTACTAAGTATCCAATGAGCCAATTACGAGTACCGCCTGTCTCGCCCGTTCACCCTTTTCATCGATTTACGAAAATATTTAACGTTATCCTAATTTGCTGTTAAAAATAACACCATCTATATTTATAGCACTAGTAAGAATACGTTTTTTTCCTGCCAATTCAAGGAAAGGTGAAATCAGGACAAGCAGAGCCATCTATGGACAGAGATATTTCACAAAAATATAAAAAATGAGTGCAGAATTTTCCCCATTTTTTGTTCATTTTCCCCGGCGGCAATGGGTTAATAAGAGGTCTTTCACAGGAGGTAACCTCCTGTTGCTGAATGGCCGAAGGAGAGCCTCTGGATATACAGACTAGATGTTCTAGTTTGCTTTCTAATGAGACATTCCTGTGTATGGTCTTACGCAACTGGGATAGGCTAGGAGGAATAACAGTACGGATATGGCTGCAGTAAGAGGCAGAGAGTGCTGCTTGATTTGCTGTGTCGTTTCCGGTAATGTTGGTGTGACTTAGATTCTAAGAGTGAAACTGTAACCTCCTGAGACTAGTTGCTGGAGTTTAGCTATAGCAGATGTGATGAGGTAGATATTATCTGAGGGCAATCCACTCTGTATTGCCTTAACTGTGGAAGTCTGTATATATGTACTCTTTGTGTGTCCTTGTCAAGAGCATATGAAAATGCTTTGGATATGGCAATTTAAATGGTAAAACAACGGTCTTATAGTCTCCAGCCTGCAGTATAATCTGGAAAACAGATGGAAGCTGTACAATAGTCAATTCGTAGTCTTAGGGAGCCCAGGTTAGTCTCTGCATGATGGTTCGTGACGTGGGTCCATTTCAGCTCCAAGTATAATTCTCATGGCCCGATTTTGAACTGTTTCGAATTTAAAGATATGTGCAGAGGTAAGTCCTAGTAGTGATCAGGCAGAGTAGTAGATGACTGACCGTATGGCTTGAACGTAAAAAGTTTTGAGGATGCGGTAATCTGCGCCAACAGCTGTTGATGCAAATTTACAGAGGACATGAATTTTTGTCTGTGTTCATTGGAGGACGTATTGGAGCTGTGGAGAAGAGTATTCCCTGGAGGCAAAGATGTGACCACGGTATTTGTGTTTATCTTCCCACTGTATGATAGTATCTTTCATAGTTAAGAGAGGTCCAGGGGAGTCGCCAGAGGTATAAATGGCTGAAGATTTAGTAGGGTTTATTTTGAATCAAATCCAATTGCATTCCTTGGATATGATGTCCATAGTATGCTCAGTATGAGCATATCTGTGTTGGCTAGTGAATAGTAACAAAGTCATCAGTGTCAGCAAAGTTTTTTGCCTGCTTGAAAGGGAAGTTGGACTAATTGTTCAACCAAGAGATTAAAGAGGAAGGGGCTAAGAATTCCATCCTATGGGATGCACTTCAAAATATCTGAAAGGCAGTCCTGTACTCCTTTTTCTGCAAGAATTGTAGCGATAGATGTATTTATCTTTTTGTGAAATGCTTAAAGGTGAGAGTGAGGGTCTGGTAATTTGTTTTAGTCTATTTAGGGCTATTCGTTCCATGGCATTCCCATGAAATGTGTTGTCGAAGGAAGGAGCTTACTAATATGAGATCTAATATGGCCACTAAAATGTAGGTAGTCATATTACTGTTGACTAGGAGTAGATATGGAGAGGAGGATAGGGCTTGGATTATAGTCTTCCTATTTGGTTGATTCTGTGCTACCTATGTGGAAAATTGTCATCATTGAGTTCTGGGTGATGGTTATTTACATCTATGTAGGGCTCGTGCCAGAGACTTCTCCTAAGTCT